ATGAACACTCCGTGGACTTCATGTTTTCTATATATATATTTCTCGCAACAAGCAATAAAAAAAAAATATCTCAAACTTGGTCAATTTCATAACATCTGCGTTGTTTCTGTCAAAAAAGAAAAATAGCACCAAGTGATACAGTAATATAGTAACAATAATAAACTTTAATACTAATATAAAAATAATTGTTAATAAACTAATGTTACAGTAATTTGAATAACGAGTTGGAGTTAGATTTTTTGTTATGTAGTAGGAAGCGTAGAATCAATAACAAAACGAAAAAACCCCGTCCGATAAAACAGTGAAATGGTACTAGGAATGCAACAAACTAGAAAATAACCTATAAATACCATAATATTAATTGAAATTTAGTTTAGTAATAATAATATTCAATTTATTTGCTTTTAAGTAGCCTATGTTGTTAGCAAACATAAAACATGTGAAATCAGATTTAATAGTTACCAACCTGAGAGTTTTGAAATGCGTGAGTGACTACACCAGTTGGATGGGGAAGGGCGGGTTTCCAGGGGTGGAGCTCCAGTGGGCCGTGGCCCGTGGTGCTCCAACATTCTGAGCATTTTAAGCTCTTTTAAAACGATTTCAGGGAGTGTTTGTTGACAATACAGGTACATAAGCCAAAATATTTTTAATAAAGCCACATACAATTTGAGTTCCAGAAATTCGCCGACAAGAAGGGGTCCGACTTGTCCGACGGAGGGTTCGATCCAAGGGCACGAGTAAAGCCCTCGTCAGGGTCACCGAATAAAAAAGGAGTGGGCCCGGAGTATTTATGGGCTTATTAAGTTATTATAGTATTAGTATGCTCCAAATTGTTCTTTTAGACCAAAGTTCCGCAAACTATGGGCCGCGGCCCAAATTTTGGCGCGAAATATTTTTGGAGGGAAAAATGAAATAACAAAGGTACATTTCAACATAGAGAAAATAGCTTAAATAAAGCTGCTTCATTGTTACTTACAAATGCCTAGATAATGCGTGCTTTTTGACTTATAAGCAGTTTTTAATCTTACCGCAATTGTTTTATAAACCAAAAAAATACACATTAACACAACAACATTCATTACCCAAACTTCCATTTAACGATAATGTTAGGGTTATGGCTTTAACAAAAATTTATCATTAGTGGAGAAGAAATTTATGCAAATGAAGAGTGTGACGAAAGAAGTGACGGTAGTGGATGAACCGCCCAATGTCTTTCAAAGTTGCGGAGTGACTGAGTGTGCGTGAACCTTTTTAGAAGAAGGAGAAAGCTATGATGTGTGTGGCTGAACAGTCAGTTGTCAGGGAAAAATATGAGTGTATGGTATTATTTTTTTAATAAAATACTATTTAATTTTTATACAATGACATTTTGTCACAGAGAGAACAGATAATGATGACAAACTATTGTATACATGTAGTCTTCATGATTAAAACTTCTTTCCAGGTTTTTCATATGTTGGTCCCTGTCGCGGCTAGGCTGCTGGGCCGTGGCTTGATGCATGGAATCGTAAATAAGCCGTGAAGTAAAAAGTTTGCGGAACGCTGTTTTAGACCACAATATTAGGTATTGGCAACTGAAATAACGTTATTGCGCAAATATTTTTGATCCGACAACCTTGTCATGGCGTCGGACGACAGGATGGTCCAGGCTTGTCCGATGGAAGGGCAAATGCCCCCGCTGGCGCCACCACTGGCAATCGTATTGTTGATATACCATCAGTAGATTTGGCTGTACCAAACAACCATCAGCTCAATACAAATTTTGAATACCATTCCGGCGCAAAACAAATATTCATCGAAGGCACATTGTTTTTGCCCTGTTATCTTTTAGTTAACATAGTTTTACTACAGAAAATAACTAATTTACATTTCATGCTTTTTTTAGTGTTGCTATCTAAACGACTCATTATTGAGACCTGAAATTTTCACAGGTATTATTCTGGAGATTTTCAAACTGTTCTCGCAAATGATAATAATTATCTCAAAATCGAGAAAAATGTGAGTTACGTTGTTTTGCCACGAGACAGCCATCCTGATCATTTTGGTGGTTTGTTGGCCAAAATGTTTGTTTGTTTGCTTTTTTCCTTTAAACATCTACAGTTGATAAGCTGTCTCATAGAGGCAGGTTGTAAAATTGAGGTTATTTTATCCTTGTTGTATTTCTTACACCAATTCAATATTACTCTTCCTTATAAATATCAGTTAGATAATAACATTTCATTGGTCAATGCCACTCGGTTTTGGTACAATATTTTCAACTACTTCCCTGCACGTTCATATTTGCGCAGATGTGGAGAAAAAGTACTATCCAAAATCAACTATCACATGCCTGGCCACACCATATGTATGAGATAAAAATCATGATTTAGTATATAAATTATACTGTATTGTTTTTCTAATTTATATTTATGGGATTGTAAAACAACATGGTTTTATTTCAGTAAAGTAGTGAATTCAACTTCCCTTAGTGATGTACAGTGTAGGATTGGAGCTACCTCCCTCTGCTTCACGTCGGGACGTAGTCCAATTCGTTCAACAACTCAGGAAGAGAATTCACACTTTACCTCAAACTATATTGAATTTGTGACACTAGTCCCAGTTTATTTATTTTCCTGTATGGCCATGATATGCTGCAGGCCCGTAGCCAGGTTCTACCAAGGGGGAGTTTTCTGGGCGTGAGGTCCACGGTCGAAGCCCCGGTGGGTTCGGCGAAACCCCCAAAGCAAGAGAATTTTTATGCTTTATGGGTCTAAATAATGCTATAAAAGCAGATATATTTGAAAACATCTGTGTCTGGGTGGGTCTGCAGTGCATTAGTTGGGTTGGAGGATTTATTTGGGAAATTCGAAGAGGGGGGTTCGCCAAAAAAGAGGGGGATTTGCTAGAAAAGGGGGGTTCTCCCGAACCATAAAACCTCCCCTGGATACGGGCCTGTGCTGCATTTTTCTTATTCATAAAACCTAATTTTTTGGAGGATTTAAACATTTAATCTATTGATTTAAGAAATAACTAAAAGTGTGGATAATGATTCCTTTTAAAAGATTACAGTTTTGGAAAGCAGTCCTCGTATTGGAGGCTGGATTGAGTCTACTACCTTAAACAATGGGGCAATATTTGAACATGGACCAAGGAGTCTACGACCCAGTGGAGTTGGCAAAAACTCACTAGATTTGGTAAGTAATATTTCCAGTGGTAGATGGGGTGTGGAGCTCCTGGGTGGGACGGGGGCTCACTCTCTGGCAGCACCCAAAAGATCCTTAAATTGTGAAATTTAGATAAGAGTTTAAAATTGCTAAAACCCCAGGAAGCT